GCAAGTAAACACACTAATTGACATGGGACTAATAAATGCAGCAAGTAAGCTGCGGGACAATAGAACACATGTTTGTAAGTCTAAACAATGATTTTCCTCCCAAAATGCTTATTTTAATTTTGATTTAAGCTACTGCATTCAAAAAAATATCTTGTGCCATTAAGGTTTATCAAGGGTCCCTGCACTTTTTCAGTGTTTGCAATGACATTCAGTTTCTAGCTGTTTGTTGAGCACTCTGGTATTGATTGAATCATAATATGTATTGGAGCAAACTTCATATTTTTGTTGGCCTGTCCTGTATTTGTGTACCAGTGGACGGACATCCGGCTGGTTAATCAGTGCTGATTAAAGCTTCTGTGGACTTTTATCAACACAGTCATTTCTGCTGAGCTCTGAATTCTGCACTTTCCACCAATCAGCTCATCGTCTTTTAACATTAAACTTTCTATTAACATTAAACATATACTTAAAAGTTTGCGCAGTTTGTCTTTGATATGAGGAAAAGGCACCGCCGTGGGCAACCTAATTTTCTTCAGATGCTTTAGGATTTGTGGATTTCCAAATGCCCAGAGTGAATTTTCACATGAACAGAAAACCTACATAGCAGCAAATTATTCTGCAAAACACCTTCCAAATACCTCAGCTGTCAAACAATCTGTTATACATATTAACCACTGTTATTAAACAAAGGAACTTGTCAACCCTTTTTTCCCTCTCAGATATTTTCACTGAACCCTCGACTTTCTTCCTTACTTCAGCTTACCTAGGACCTCTTCCCCTGTTACTCTCACTTTTGAATCTCCTCCTTCTTCGAGCCTTCCACGCAAGGGTGTCACTTTGTGTTGAAAAGTGGTGGGGACATAGGGGCTCAGATTTGGGGTGTGAAGAGACACTTAGCTCATGAAACATCATGATATGCAATATTAGGTTCATAAGAACGAGACAAAAAGATCCTTTAACAATGTCTTAATGATATCCTCAATGCCAAGATATATGAGTGGGGAGTTTGATCATTAAACACTTAATTTCCTGCATTCTGGTCAACGTTTCTACACCAATTTATGGTGGACATGTTTTTATTTATGCAAAAGGAAACACAAAATTCAGGTGGCATGTGACATTTCAAAATACAATATATTAATATAACGGAATCTATGTCAGTGCAGCTCTCAGTCATTCTGTGCTGCTTTCAGATCTGTTTCTCCTGTAGATCAACTTTTCTCATGTAATATCATCCCTGCCGAGGCAACACCTATGCAGGCATGATTTAGTTTTCACTCCTCTTTTGTCATGTTCACAGGGAGAGAACGGAAAACCTAGCTGAAACAAAACTGTGTCAAGAAGTTGTTAAAGTTATTGATTGGTGCTGCACATCTTGGGGTCATTTTATAATCAGCTTGTTTTTTTTAGCTTGAGTTACTTTTTTTGAACAATGTACATTTGTTTCTTCTATATTTTAATTGCATTGCATTTTTTCTTAATGTGGAAATAAACCTTTCTAAAAGCATTTTCATTTGTTCTTTAAGTGTTTTTTTTAACAAATGTTGCTTTAAAAAAGTGGTGGGGACAAAATCAGCCATTTCAAAAACTGGTGGGGACATGTCCCCAGCGTCCCCAGTGTAAATGGCACCTATGCCTCCATGATGCTGCACATGCAAGATTTCATTATTTTCTTAAAACACTCTGCCTCCAATTTTTTGGCAAAGTCATCATCAAAAATCTCTCCACGAGTCATCATTTCCACCAGCGGATCCCTCGAGCTTTCTTTACGTGGCCACTTCAGGACCACACTGATGGCAGCAATAACATGTCACGTCTAAATGAGGAAAACACACACTGTCCAGTCTCACAAGTCTCACAAACCAGCACAATATAAATGCATCTTTTGTAGAAAGTCCACTTCAAAGAATAACATGATTTCTTTGCTCCCTCCAACCTCCCCCCAACAACACCCAGTCTTCACACAAAGCTGTAATTTCATTTTATCATCTCCACCGGCTGAGACAGGCGCCTTGATAGCTTCTTTCCAAAAAATTAAAGATTTCACATGCCTTTATCCCAAAATCGACAAAAACTTGCCTTGCATGCAACGGGCAAATAACACCTTTGTTTGCTCCTCAATTTGTGCAAGCTAACAAGACTGGCTCTCTGTGTGACTGAGATTTTAAAAAGTGCAGCACAGTTGCACTTGCCTTAATCGTTTTTTTATAAGCACAGCCCACAGAGACAACTCCAGCGCTGGAGTTATGTGCAGTGCTCTGCAGCCTTCGACAAGCTGCACAATTGCAATGAGGAACAAGTGACTTGAGGTGTGACCCGTCTCATTATTATGGCATACAGTAGAGATAGGAACAGTTCAACCAAAGTTTATGACCACATAACACAGAGGGTGTTCGTAATGAAAGCCTGTTCCAAAAAATAAAAAATTAATAAATTATAAAATTACTTGATTATGCCTGTTTAGTATAATCTTGGTGTTCCACCAGCATGTGGTGAGGGTCCAAGCATCTAAAGGAGACAACTCTACAAATGTGTACGAGAATTGTCATTTCATGGTCTGAACAAACAGCTGCCCTGCTCATTTAATGAGCTGTGCCTCTGGATTGTGCAGCCACATCACGCAGGCAAAATCCCTCCTCTGTACTCTGTACTCCAGGTAAAATACATACTTGCATCAGGTGCCGCATCAGCCAGTCAGGATGAGTGAAGCTGTGTGAATATTTCAGGCGTCTGCCTTCTGCTGCCTGGTGCAGTCCTAAATTACGATGTGCCAAATAATTTCTTGGCCAGACAGCAACACGCATATCGACGGTTTCCAGCGGGCGGTGGGTTTTGGTTGGTACCATCCAGTGTGTGCAAGTGACAATCAAGATGAAGAGCACACATGAAATAATAAAAGAGTATATACCAGGCAACGACACATAAACGACAAAAATTAACATTCATGAAATGTTCTACTTTTATGCAAGGAGCTTAACAGTGAGTTGAATGGAAATCAGGTGTCATTCAGAAACTCACATTTTGATGTTAAAGCTACCCTTGATGTGAGCATTTTAATTAAAATGATTTCTTTAAAGTAAAACTTCAAATATGTGAAATAATTGCATATTCATTTAAAGTTTTTTTTTTATCTAAGTAATGTTCCTCGGGCAGGTTGCCAATTTAATCTTTGTGTGCTGTCGTCCTAAACGAAACAGTTCTACTCCTATTTTGGGTGGTTCAATTTTGTGAAGACATATTCATGACAGCACTGGTTAGCCCTGAGCTCTGTGGAGCATCAACGGTGATAGACATTTTGGGAAAGCTGTAGAGTTGTACAAGGCCAGATATATTACAAGGTACAAATAACATTGTATGAAATGGAATACTGTTAAGAGGTGCTATTTTTATAATACCTTTAGACCCACAGAGGCAATGCCCATTAGACTGACACACTAAACCGTCTGCATTTAGGCTGGAAAACTGCAGCTCTGCAACAGATTTCTCCAAAACCATATTAAAGTTTAGGGAGTTCTGCATAGATTTCACTTTTCTTTAATGATCAATGTGATGTCAATAAGCAAAATTTAAATCCAATAATTGATTTAGCAATAATAATAGAATTTACCATCACAACAGTCTTGTCTGATTTGTATCTGCAATGACTCAGATCTCAGATTAACTAGAGCTTGGAAATAAATGCTTCTCTTGGTGTGATTCCACCTAAGTGCCTGGCAGGTGGGTTTGACACGCCAGATGATATATTGGGTGCCTGAAAGGTTTGACATTCACAAGAAAGCATTCATCATTTTATGATACTAATCTCTAATGAGCAGCCTCACCTGACATTATCTGAATTTTCCTGGATGCAGTGAAGCACACACCACCTGTACTACTGACATAATCAGTATGCGCATGTATGTCTGCATTGAGGAGCACTGGGGTGGGTGGGGGGGTTGTGTTTCATATTATGATCTTATGATCCAAAATGACATAATTCAATAACCACAGATCAAGCTTTATGCTCCACCAGGAGATTTCTTATCCAGGCACAGTCACAGTTTTGACTTTAATGACTATAACTAATTTGTAGTAGCTTGAGTGTGTGTGTGGTAGCACAGGGATCCAAATTAATGTACTGTGTCAAATATCACAGGCATCATCTTTAACCATTTGATCATCCGCAAAGACAAAGACTTGAAGCCATGAAGTTGTGAATTTTCGCTTTCATATTTAATCTTTCCTCCTATCAACTTCTAATGCGCAACTTGTGTAAAATATCAATGATTTACATGATGTGGTAGCCAAAAGGCTTTCATGTGAAGGAGAACATCACTTAGTTCAACAATTCATGTGTGATATCTCCATGATCTAGGACAGTCCAATCAATATTTGGGAGATGATGAACAGCCCTTTTTGGAAGGAGTCCAAGGCAGAAATTACCTTACCCCTGATGTCATACAGATGTAAAATCTAAGGATTCTGCTAAATTACTGGGTGGGTGGGGGGGTGCACATCAAAAGTTTCACTCAAACCTGGAATAGTGTGTGAAATTTATCCCTACATTTTAACTAGGCTAAATATCTGTTTATGCTTAAACATTCAGTCTTTCCCACTTTCCTTTCCTTTTTTTCTTTTTAAATAATGAGTCGACGGTCTTCTGTAATGTTACACACATGAGCTACATCACGCATAGAGCATTTACAAAAAGTTACCGCTTTATGACATTATCACCAGCAATATAAACTAATATTCAGTGGCCTCATGTGCGTCAGACATGGGGTATAATTGTTAAAATAGGTAATACTAATAATAATATGTAGCCTACATACATTTATTCTTGTTCAAGTTCTGTGTAGAAGACAATTTAGCTATCTTCCTAAAGGGAAGGGATTTCCATGAGCCCTACCACATTTCGCAGAGTAAATGAATGACATAGTTATCTCAACGGTGGGGAATATATTCTGCATCTAAAATAAAATGCATGCTGTTAAAAAAGAGAAATGCGCTGTTTAGCCTACCATGAGAGAAGACATTGAGCAGGAGTCCAATGATCATCATCCTGTCCGGTGACATTGGAGAGTTGGGGACTGGGAAACTCACTGCAGCTCAGTGACCCGTCTCCTGCCACATCCAGCCTCCTCCTCTGCTGCTGCTCCTGCACGGACTGAGGGAGATCGGATGGTGCTAGTGCACAAAGTTGGCAAAGCTGAACCGTGCACACCACTGGAGCGATTCAAGTTCTCGCGATTTCTGTTGTCCCATTTATTTTTCCGATCCCAGTTATTTCAAAAACATGTATCCAAAAAGTTCCTCTGTAGCTGATCACCCGTCACTTCCAGTCAGTAAGAATACAGTCTTCCAAGTGCGAGATGCGTCGCTGCGTCGCAGCTCCACAGTTGTCCAGCCAGAGTTGAGAGCAGCGCTGAGACTGCATGGCGCATCTCTGTTAAAGGCGCAATGTGATTGGCCCCTGAAAAGACTGAACATGCCCGTGAGATGTTAAAATGTTTCCTGTGGGAGAACAGCTGGGCAGTAGGAGCCAAGTTCAGGCGTCATGACACAAGGTATAAACAAGGCTAGCCTACAGATTTCATTAAAAAGTCAATTTTGTTTAGATGGTTACATATTTGTAGCATTTCAACAACGATCAATCACTAATCCACTAATCCACTAATCCACTTAATGAACCGAACTGTGTTTGATTTGGTTTAAATGGTTTTAGCAAATCTCCACTGAAAGAACATTAATGGCTTTGACCTTGACACTGAATGGTAATGGTTTTTGTACCAAGCAATGTAACACTGTATTCTGTTATCTGATTGGTCCATCTTTTTGGTTGTAAATATTGGTTTGTCTTTCTCCCCACAGGTGCCTTTATGTGTCTGCAGAAGTGAGCTAATGTTAGAATTAATATGTTCCCAGAGACCAGTCTGCAGCCCCACAGACTTCAGCTTCCAGTTGGACGGGGACTGTGAAATCTTGTTCCACGACTGCATCTGACCTGTGGGTGGAAAGGGTTTGTCCAGAGGGGATGACATGAAGTGAGAAATACTAAAAGCTGTGGTACTCACCTGTAACATTGAGGTATCCTTTCCCCCCTGTTGTTTACCTGAACAAACAGTTTCATTGAGCGGTTTGTGTCTGTGCATGTGCAGATACTCCATTCCATTGTCTATATTATTCCTTCCTGGAATATAACCACAAAACTAAATTTGTAAGTTTCATCACACAGTTGCTGCAGGAAACAAGAAGTCACAAAGCCTCCTTGAATGTTTTGGTTAAAAAACAAATCAACAGATTAATTGCAGATTGGATTTACTTTTTTAAAAAGTCACTGAATGCTGATTTCTTTTTCACTTTAAGGCAATTTTAAGATGTTGGTTTAAAAGATGTCTTGAAACAGTTACAAAATTACCCAATTTTATTTATTATTATTACAATTATTATTATTACCCAAAGGAGTAAAAATACTGCACTAGCAATATGATTAAATAAACTCACCGCCGCCTCTCACAAAAAGAGAACAAAAGCAATTTAAAATTGCAAAGTGCATGCCATTGACCTGTTGTCCTCACTGTAATTAAAAGACAGCAGAGGGATTAGTGGATTAATTTACACATCCTGTTCAACTGGATGCTCAAGTGCCAGTAAGAAATGCAGTTGGGCAGTGACTGTCATTAAAATGCATATCCATCAAACAAGAACAACAAACAAAGCGTGTAGCCTAATAAAACTCTGTTATCAACAGCAACCATGGCAGCACATGGAGACCTTGCATCACACACAGACAAATCAATCTGCTGTTGCTGAAGTTGCTTCTAACATCAAACAAAATATTGCAGAATGAGTGAGTTGATTGTCTTTTACAACTTGTTTCCCAGTGTGCTCCCAGCTAAGTCAGGTTTTATTCACTGTGATCTTGGTCTTCTTCTACTTCCGCTTCAGAGGCGGCTGTATGGATTCCTCAGAGGAGGTTTGACGCTGACTTCATGGCATCACAGCAGCTCCTCCCTTTGGTCAACCCGGTGCATTACATAACACATGCACATGTGTAAATTACAAAGATTCAATAATGTGAGCCTTGGCTTATTACTGAGATAATGGTGTTGACTGTAAAACCCAGCTTAATCAGAACAGTCTTATCTGAGGTTTATGTGGCCACACTAAACGTGGTTTGGCATAATAAGCTATCAACAAGACCCTGGAGACAACTATTTTCAACAGCTGGCATCATCTTAATGAGAAACATATTTTGCTTCCAGTTCTGTTGTTCGATAAGGCTTGAAATAAAACACAAGCAGTTTCATAAACTATCACAGGAACATAGGATAGTCAATAAGTTGTCATATCAGCCTTTTGGATCATGGACATAAAGTAATTAAAGAATTTTAAATATAGATAGATAGATAGATAGATAGATAGATAGATAGATAGATAGATAGATAGATAGACAGATAGATAGATAGATAGATAGATAGATAGATAGATAGATAGATAGATAGATAGATAGATAGATAGATAGATAGATTTGTTATTTATCAGTTTTCAACTACATAAAACACTTCAATACTTCAAAACACTACACACAATTCTCTACCTAAGACACAAAAATCTAATAGGAACTTGCTTTCCTTTCCAAAACACAACCAATCAAAATGCTACGCTTATTCACCAGGTCACATACCCACTCCTCACATGTTCAAATACTAACTGCTTAATTGATCAGTAACCACTGCTTTAGTATACAGTAGACCTATACATAGGTCAAAGGTCAGATTACCTGTTTTGACCAATGGATGCCAACAATGGACAGAGAGCAAGGAGAGTAGGAGGGAGAGGCAGGGGATGACAACGAAGACAAGTTCAAGGAGGAATAGTTGAAAGAGGAGGAGGAGGAGGAGGACTTGGAAGAGGACGAGGGCAAAGAAGAGAAGGAAGGAGAGCCATCACTGATGAGATCAGGGCCACAAGTGATCATGTGATCAGCCACAGGTTGACAATGAGAGACTTGAGTCGCTTTACATTGGGATCCATAACTTGAACCTTCAGAAATTAGAACAAGTTGCAACAATCTAATGGTTATTTCAGCAGTACAGTATTGTAAAATATGTATTAATTTTAAGTAGTAAAAGTTATATTTTCCTTTTCTTGTATGCTGCTGTATTCAACACTGTGCTATACTGTTACAACAGTAATGTTTTGCCAAATAAATATTTCCTGTTTTAACACTGCATTGGGTTTTACAGTGTACTTTTCAGCACCTCTCAGCAGATTACTTTCACTCTAGAACATTATATGGAAGTGTACACATAAGGCTGTGAAAGACAAAAGAGTTTTAGATTTAGAACAACAGTGTGTAAATGGTATATCCAATAATTTACTATTATGAAAAAAGTGTTTGCCATCTGATGCAAATGCTTCATTTTGGGATGTGTTTGTGGCATTTTAATTACAGTGTTTCATTTTTAAGGAGATATGAAGCATTTTGTACGAGCAGTTTTGTGTGTAGTTTTTAAAAAAGGTCGTTTTGAAAACGTGTGTAAGCAAATTGTAAGTCTCTTGTCGCCCTCTAGTGGACAACCTTGATCGAGCCAGCACTGGATGAATGAAACTTATTTTTGGAATTTAGACGGTTATGCAGCACTTGTCGTCATCCAAGATACGCAGTAACACAATTAAGCTCTCAAAACCTAGCTCGAACATTTCAACAAGTGGACTCATTAACTTGTGGTGCCAGCAGAGCAGGCCGTGGACACGTGACGGTATGTTGCTCAAGAACATGTCTGAGGACGAAATGAAACATCTGACATTCAACAACATTAAGGGTTTGCAAACAGCACACGCGTAAAACAGACACAAGTGTCCCTTGAAAAACATCCACAGCTGTGGAACAACACTTCAACTGTTCGTATTTAAAACGTAATAGGCTATAGGCCTAGACTAGGTTACATAAAACATATTAATTCAATAGAATGCGCCAAACTGAAAGGCAACCATACAGTAGGCCTATTTGTTTCTAACAGCCGTCACCTTCACTGAAAGTTATTTCATTTAAATTAACATGTTGTTTGTAATTATGGCGCTGGCCTGGGCCTATATGCCCCTCTGGAGACCTTGAGAGACCAGGGTCTGTATGACCCTATGACTTTCCTCCAGTATTATTTACAGCACAAATCTGTAACGGCCAGGCCGCTGTCTCCATTGGTCTATGGGCGTAACTCTGAAAAGGAAACCAAATAAGAGCAAGTCCATGCTGTAACTCGTTTGGTTTTATGTCTAAATTTAGTTTCTTCGCGTCTATTTTGTAATTTACTTTCCTAGGGTATAGAAAATTACGCAGCGTGACGACATCACTATATAGGCGGTTTAATTGGCGGAGAACCGCGTGACGTTGAAGGATTGGCCAATACTGTCGAATCACAGTTCCCGTGTTGTATCGCGATCCATTGTGTTATATAAATCCTCAACGCGGCTTCTCAATCGGCCATTTCGTCTGTGCAGGGCCGTCAGTCTCAGAGGGCAGTGGGGCGTTATCTTACGTACTGGTTAACTGAAAGACACACCAAGAACATCGCACCATGAATGAGACAGCTATTTCCTTTGCCAAGGATTTCTTGGCCGGTGGCATCTCCGCTGCTATCTCCAAAACAGCCGTCGCCCCAATCGAGAGAGTGAAGCTTCTCCTTCAGGTAAAACTCTTCCGGAAGGCTCACTGTTAGCCGGGTAGCTGGTGTCATCTTGCTAGCTGCCATTGGACAAAACGCGTCAAATGCGTAACTTATCTGTGCCGGTGTTCATCACGTATCCGCAAGCTCGGAGGTTCACATAGCTCAGGAGCATGTATTCATATTAAATAAATGAAAGTTTTAAGACTGGTGAGTTGGAGGATTTGAGGTCATCACGGGATGGGAAATGACCTACACGAGCCCGGCTGCTAACGTTAGCTTCACACATTAACCTTAGCCGGCGTAGCTAACAAAGGACAAACCCTTGTAGTGATAATTGGGACACTGTGTACACACAGACGGCAACACATTTGATTCAACTACCACGTTACTATTTCATTGACTGTTAACACGAGACTGAATGTCGGTTAAATTTTAACTGTAATTGATCAGGAGATATTGATGGTGGCTAATGTACGTCTTGATGTTAGCTAAGGTACAGTGCGATGGTTGTAAGGCCCGGCGACAGGCATTCACAGCTGGTTCCACAACTTTTAAACCCTTTTAAGTAAAACCTGCACTACCACATGGTTTCTAAAGCTCCCGATGCTGACTCTTCCCATACTTAAAGTTAACATTAACATAATATTGGTGGGGGGGGGGGGGGTTCCTCGGAATGAACAAATGTTTGGTAGATCAAGACTCAACAACTCAGCTATTATCATTTGATTGCTACTCAACACTGATAGCTCTATGAAATTGCACTTGCCTGGAGAATTAGCGGCAACTTTTACAGGCTTTACATGTACCAAGGTCACAACAAGGAGACTTTCTGATTGAACCATGTGTAACATTTACCTGGTTTACCTGTTTCAAACTCACTGGTATCTTTTTGTTTATTCCAGGTCCAGCATGCCAGCAAGCAGATCACCGTGGATAAGCAGTACAAGGGTATCATGGACTGTGTTGTCCGTATCCCCAAGGAGCAGGGATTCCTTTCCTTCTGGAGAGGTAACCTTGCCAATGTCATCAGATATTTCCCCACCCAGGCCCTCAACTTCGCCTTCAAGGACAAGTACAAGAAGATCTTCCTTGATGGTGTCGACAAGCGCACCCAGTTCTGGAGGTACTTCGCCGGTAACTTGGCCTCTGGTGGCGCGGCTGGAGCTACCTCTCTCTGTTTCGTTTACCCCCTCGACTTCGCCCGTACCCGTCTAGCCGCTGATGTGGGAAAGGCTGGAGCCACAAGAGAGTTCAATGGTCTTGGAGACTGCCTGGTTAAGATCTTCAAGTCTGATGGCCTGAAAGGCTTGTACCAGGGCTTCAATGTGTCTGTGCAGGGCATTATCATCTACAGGGCTGCATACTTTGGCATCTATGACACAGCTAAGGGTATGTTGACTTAACATCGACATACACTCAAACGTCGGAGGATACCTGCGTCTTCTTAATCTGTAATATTTCCCCCTCTTTGTTTACAGGTATGCTTCCAGACCCCAAGAACACTCACATATTGGTGAGCTGGATGATTGCGCAGAGTGTGACAGCTGTTGCTGGCCTGACCTCATACCCCTTCGACACTGTGCGTAGACGTATGATGATGCAGTCTGGACGTAAAGGAGGTGAGCTGATTTGTGTTAATGTGTTTTTTGCAGTCAAACTGACACTTGGCTGTAAAAGACACTGTTTTGTGTATTATCACTTGATAAGCTAAATGCAACATAGAACTGCATCATTTTTCTGATGCTCCCTGCATATTCTAATTTCTGCTCTCTTCTTGCCTTCATCAGCTGATATTATGTACAGCGGAACCATCGACTGCTGGCGTAAGATCGCACGTGATGAGGGAGGCAAGGCTTTCTTCAAGGGAGCCTGGTCCAATGTGCTCAGAGGCATGGGCGGCGCCTTCGTGCTGGTGTTGTACGATGAGCTGAAGAAAGTCATGTAATTCCTCATGTTGTCACATCACTGTCCAATTTGGCTAAATGTAATAACTTTCCATTTTTATGGACTCTGCATTCTGCCTTATTTATGGGAACAAACTATAGTGTGTCTCACCGCTAGCTGTGGGCCATGGCTGTACGTTGTGCATCTTTATGATTTTTAAAACGTTCCACACCCTCTATACCAATGTCATTCCTGTTAAAGATATCTGATACCTCCTCATGTCATTCACTAGGTTTGTATGGTCCCAACTTGAATAAATTTATTCTGGGGAACAAATTAAAACCTTGATGTCAACTGTCTCCACTGTTGCTGCATGAGATGAGCACTCACTGGATAATGAAACGCACGAAGTGGATTACTCCCAACTGCTATATTTACTCGCGCTTATCTCTTCCTGAGCCTTCCTTTTTTTGACCGTGGTCTCTACTAGGACTGTAGAGTAGATCACCTGAGCATTGGCTCCATTTGAATATGGCCCAGAAAGGTTCCTGATGATAAAGTCCACACCATTCATTTATGCTCACTTTTGTGGTGATACAGGTTGCCTGACCCTCTAGGTTTTGGTTGTTTATAGGATATCTTTCACCGCTAACTTAAATTACTTTCACAAACAGCAGGGAAATGCAAGCTCTTGTGAAATTCAGAAGATGTTTGTATGTATTTGATAAGCTGTAGGAACATTATAAAAGCTTATGTCATGTTTTAAGTGTACTAAACCCTTCAATGCAGATTTTATTTTGAGTCAGTGTTCAATATTAAAATGCAGTATGAAATTTTCCACCGCATTGCATGAACGAACTAAGTTGTGTGTGCTCATCTACTTCAAACGTGTTGGAACGTGCGATTAAGAGATGTGACAGAAATACTTCACTGTTCATACCTTCTCTCACAATCCAGACAGATTTGTGCTTGGTACTAGAGTAGATCTGGTGCTGGTGGATGATCTGAAAACCAAGGCGCCTGTAAGTAGACCTTATCTTATGTCATTTAGATAGACACCGGCTACACATTTTAGGAGTGACCGCATACAGACCTGGTAGTTTTAAGGTACACTGTCTGTGCTTTCAATAATTCGCCTGAAAGACTGAAGACTTGACAGCAGGGGGCGCGCGCTGAAAAGAAGTGACACTCACGAGGCCTTCCCGTACCCTATGCGCATGCCTGAAGCATTGAGGTTTGAAGGCGGGGCGTGTAAAGATGAATCAGATTTATCTGCTTATCAGGATTTTGTGACAAAGTGACAGCGTGTACGAAGGTGGACGCTGTTCCGCCATAACACCTGTGTAGTATACTACGCAGTACACAAATATTGTAGGTACTGCTGCCTTTATGAATGGTTAATTAACTTTTAGACGTGTTGGTACATTATAAGGTGTTGGTGTGTTACTAGAAGGAAACCGTACAATATAATGCAGTATATCACTATTACAAAGTAAAGGAAGAATAATTATTACCAGTGTAAATAAATAAACAAACCACTGTGGGGTCATTAAAGTAGCTAATTAAAAATCATTTTGCAATGTGTCCTAAATTAATTCACCCCGGACTTTGTATATTTGTGTCAGACATTAATTAAAGAGCATATATTTTGACAGTATGGCTGCAATTTATAATCAGGAACAAAGACTGATAATATACAATGAAAAATATGGATTTAAAAAAATCACAAATCATTTTGTAAATTAGGTTGCCACTGTGTTTTTCATTTATGTAAACAATGTGGTTTAGCCATAATATATGAACCTGAAAGCTAAGAAAAATTAAGAAGCCAGCCAGTGCGAAGCAACCATCTTTTTCCTCAGACAAGTTCATTCTGAATTCATAAGCACTTATGATTTATTCCACCAAATGCTTCTTTCAAGTCTACAACCTGAATCCAGTATTACAATACAATACAGAGCATCTTCTATATTTGCTTCCTGTCCCCTTTTAGCTCTTGGATGTGTCTTACCAGATTACAATATAAGTATAAGAATCCATCACTGTTAACACAGAGTGTAAAACAATTTAATATCAAAAGTCAAATAAAAATGGACTGTGGTAACATCTGTTAAAGCTGCATGATACATTTTATTGAAGTGCATTCTCATTTGATCTCATTTTGTGATGATGGAGATTTTTTTTAATTTGTAGGAGTGACAGTACAGTATAAACCTCACTGGTTGGTTAATCTTGCTGCATACAGACTCAAACTGAGTATCAGTAACAGCTAATATTTATGGCATAGATCTGATGCAGTTAACATGCAGTATGTTAATCAAAGTGTCAGCCTAAATTACTGTGCTGTACAGCAGCCACACAACACAGACACCTCGCAGCACACTCAACTGTGTAGAGCTTACAGTTGGCTGCAGTCTCCTCCAACAGTCCACATGCTTGTGAGTGAAGTGGACTGGACTTGAATTTCCTGTACAGTAGGTGTAAAGCATATGACTGTCATTGTTTATTAACCATTGTTAGATTTGTAGTGGACTGGCAGCTTGTCCAGGGTGTTTCCTGCCTTCTGCCCAGTGCATTCTGGGATACAGTCCAACCTGTTGTTTAGGATCTCGTCACTTCCAACTGTATTTGGACTCACACACATCAGCAGGCTAATAGTATTTATGGGCTTACTTTTAGCTAACTCAGCTCATTCATTTGATTATACTGACTCTAAAGAATAATATCTATCTATCTATCTATCTGGTTTTATGCATTCATTGGATGTCAGTCTGTAGCAGGAAAATAAAACGGCAACAAGACTTTCTGTGAAGTACAGGAAAGTACTAGTTTTTATTCCTTCATAATCAAACTTCACAAACAGCTTGAACTTGTACAATACCTCAGAGAGTGAAAATTACAAAAAAAGTGCTGGTAACATTTACAAAAATCATCCTTACTTAGCAACAATCAGTTTATTCTTCCACACTTTTTTTAGTCTTTTGTATTAAGGCTTAATACTTCTGTATAAAGTATATGCAAGATAAGTCTTCACAGTTTTTCGAAAAAAGTCACAATATTATGTAACATAATGAAGCTTTTACGGCTATTTTCTTTATAATAACAAATACACATCACTGGTAAATATATGTGAAATACAGGGCTTATTGTAAAATGGCAAGTAATGATACTGTTTGCTGAGATAAATTGATTCCACACACTGTTATAGGAAAGTTTTGACATACCGTTGCTATAACTGAAGGAGGAGGAAAAGAAAATGATAAGCATAAACACTTGGGAGATCGCCTCCAAACTTTGGCACATCCCATGAAACAATTTCACAAAATATGAGATTTATTTTTGAAATCATACATATGGAAGAATAGCTAAACTGGCATAAAGTGAAAACATGCTGTGTAGTAAGGTGCTAAATCAGAGATATTACATTGCCAGCCTTTTTCCCCCACGTGGACTGACATGAATAAGGTGCATTCGTAAGACTCAAAGCATGTAGGCCTTTCTTAGATGTCAACAAAATATGTAATAAATACATGTTTTTCAAAAACAACCTAAATTCATTTGACCAATAGTCTTGAGGCGACCTCGTATACTCATGCATTCCCATGGATTCAGAGAAATTAATATCTCTACTGCAGTTGTGTAACTCTCTAACTGTGGCATGTGAAAGTAAAAGCTGTATGGTATTCATGGTATGTGTTATTTGCTTTTTTCCCCCTATTTTAATTTAATTTAATTTTTTATTATTTTTTGAACTGTTGAAATTGTGACAAACTTGATGATTAAGTAGATGGAATTGAAAACTGAATGCAAAACTAAGCCAAGATATATTCACAAGATCCTCTAAGCTGCACTGGTTTACAGGTCAACAGATGAGAGCTCTAGCCCTAGACTTACCAATTTCACCCTCATGCATACTGTACGGTTAAAGTGACGCAACAAGCTTGCTTAAATAGTCTACATCACAAAAGCAATTTGGTTTTAGTGCAAACACAATTGGCTGGCTTCAGCTTCTCAATAATAACAAGCTCACCAAGGAGATTACAAGAAGGCACATACTTATGCTTCCTCTAACACGCAACATATTTAGACAAACCGCAACATCTTTCAACAACACCACAAAGCGGTGAAAACAGGAAAGCTACTACATCCAGATAAAATGGTGAAGTTTTGCTGTTTGTGAATTATTGAAAAATTTACACTTATCCATCAACAAAATACCAACGTTAAGGTCAATAATTACTGCTGTTGTGAGTGACCTCGTTGAAAAAGGATGAAGTATGATACATTTTGGTGGACACAGATTCTCAAGTGGCCAATGGTGCTATGTTTATATGACGTGAGGTGCATTTGAGATTTTCTTTCTTACTATTTCATTATTATCTCACTTTTTTTTTCTCTCTTTTGTGACATCCCAGCGAAAAGCACTCAAAGCGACCAAATATGCAGAGAAGATGATTGTTTTTAAGGGGAAAGGTATCCAAGACAGAGGACAGCTGGGTATATCTTTTGGTATTTGTGTTTATCTTTAAATGTGTTTAGTCTGATGTGTGATGAAGACAACTGATGTTTGACTCATGGGAAATGATTCCTTCCCTCACACGTCCCTTCACTTACTTCCAAGCTGCTTGATTTGTCCAAAACAATCACAGGAGGAAACAACAGTTTTAATGCCCCTCAAATCTGGACACTAATACTCGGGGGGTACGGCTGGGTAAAAAAAAACCTGCTACGAACAACAATTACACGTGGATGTCATGTGCATTTAAAAAGGTGACTGATTCTGTACCTTTGAATACAAAAACAAATCAAGACTTGTCAAATATCACCATTTACTCAGCATTGCCACTGTGGGCGACAACCGTCACATATTATGGTTCAAAAATGTGTTGAGTGAATTATATTGCTTTTGATAGAAGGAGACCAAAATAAGTCTAGTGCAAATCTCTTTTCTGGTTTGAGAAGTGGTGGTTGGTGTAATGACTCAACTGTCATATCTGCTCTACCATAACGCGGACATACCAGGTGATTTAGAAAACTGGATAGCTGTCAAGTGGTATCCCTTTAGGATTTTTCTGAATATTTAAGATAGCACTCAAAAAAATGTTACAATTTGGAAGGAAAACCCCTAATAAATGTTTCCTATTATAAATAAACCATCACCCAATGAATGCAATTAACCAGCACAAAGGAAATATCTTAACTTCTTACATCTAAATGACTCCTATTTTGAGCAGGAGGATGGCGGCCATGTTAGTCACCCTCCCCTGTACAGCTGGGAGGATGTGCTTTGTCTGTCAGGGTGTCGTCTGTGCAGTTATGTCTGTCAAATACATCTCTCAACTTGGAAATGTTGGAAAACTCACTCCAGTCCAGTGTTTGACAAATCATATTATAAAAAACGTCCTTGCACATACATTTAAAAAAAAAAAGAAAGAAAAAAAAAACTTTATCCCCTATTTCAAAACAGCAGTCAATACATTTCAAACAAGCTTGTTTCATAACAACAATAATAATAAAATACAAACCAACTTGGAGCATAAATTATCAAAAACAAACTGAAAACACATTACTGCAGCATATATTTCAGGGTTGCTTAGTTGTGATGTTAACTACCTTTACTACAACAGCTCCACTTGTGCCAAGTTCATAACTATATAGGAGAAGTACTTTTAGGGAAATAATAAAATATCAAGCTAACGTAGGCAAAAAGAGCCTAACAAAATATACACATATTTATAAGCACATCTCATAGTTCACTCAAGTGCATGTTTACAAAAGCATCTACATACAAGATATGGCAGCAAAAAGCCTGAAAAGCCAGATGAAAAATAACCTAAGCTGCTTTGATTAGGACACGTCATTTCTGATTTGTACTGTCAATATTTGGGAAATTCTGTCTCCAACCTGGGTACAAAACATCGCCCGAATTACAGTAATTCAATTTCCTATTTTGAACACACAGGATGAAAAATATACAGCAGATTCACCTAGAATTCAACCTTACAGTAATAAAATATTGTCAAATTTTGCCTAATGATTTACATTCTGCTCGCAGATGATGCCTTGTCATTACAAAAATATATCATCTTGTAATCACTTTAATACATATTTGGACCACATTATGATACTTAAATTCATGTTACAGTTTGGTTTGACTCATTAATTTTAATAATGTAGCAATGGCTGGCTCTGACGTTTTTCTTTTCAGTGAACATGAAATACTGTAATATTTGCTTAGAGATCATGAGTGAGATTTAACTTGTTTTGCTGAGACTTAAAGTTGTGTATCATTATTCTCTATCCTTTTTTTGGCTTAATAAACAAGCTACAAATATGTGCAAACTTAACATCTTGGTCCATCTCAAGTATAAATGGCTAAATGTACTCTATGTCACAATGTCAAATTAGTAATTTAGGGACAGCCTGAAAATATTAGACGGTGCCAATATTTGATGAAAACTGCTAACATAAAGATTTTTTGGATTTAATCCAATGTGAAGGTGAACAGGTCTACACTGATTTGCTAAATGTGTGTATAGAAGACATAACCAATGATTATTGAGTATTATGTTTTGTCAAGAGGAACAATGCAACATTTACAATCTTATACATGTTTTAACATGCGATAGTTTACATCACAGCTACTGTGTCAGATTCATTTTTATGTTTTGTTGCATTTCTTATAAAAAAAAATCTATTTTGGTCTACAATAGGCAAATTAACACAACCACAAAACATAGATGCATTTTCACAAGCACCCTGCAGTGAGAAGAAAAACAAAGAAAACCCAAAAAACAAACAACTGTAGCAATCTAGCCCAACCATTGGAACCCCACACACATAGAAAAGAAACGCTATTTTCTCCATAAAACTTAAATTATCTTAACCCTTCTTTGGTTTGTGAAAACAAACATTGTCTAGTACAGTTTTTTTTTTCTCAATTTGACTTCTAATGATTAGCATGGCCCCGTTTTACAAATGACCACCACCAGCCACTTTGGGGACATTATTACAGTGCTCAAATCTTTAATCTCTGTCTGCAGACTGCGTGCTGGCTGAGACAGTGACCAACATTGTGGTGAAGAGCCTTGACTTCTCTCTTTTTGCAGTTTTTTAAAAATGTTATTTTACGTCTCTGCACTATAAAAGAGAGACCTACATAGAGAAACTGAGTGATAGCATAGTGCATGTTGTCTATAGAACCAGTACACACAAGCATAAGCTGTGCTCAAAGCTGGGAGTTGTGATCTTCTGGCAAAATTTAAATAAACAGCAAGATGAGATAAAAAAAAACCCAATCTATTTTAGGGAAATATACATTTTTACTAAACTCTGATGTAATGGGCAATGTTGCTACTACATAATCAAATATCCCACAGATCTGTAAAACGATTAAGTGCTGGAAATCCTCCTTAATATTAGGTTAGTTAAGTGTGGAAAATGAATGCCAGACTAGGAGTTGGAATGTTCTGGACTTGAACAGGAATGCATGTTTTTAGTTGCACTGCTGCACACTTTAAAACTAATTGAGCTGGACTAAGCCGAAAAGACTGCAGCGAGTAAGAACACAAAGAGGATCAACGTTTAGTCTTGATTAGAGGCTAAATCGCATATAAGTTTCCTCACCATTGTGATTTTTTAAAAAGATACAGAAATCCTGTTATGGCGGGACACTCAAAATATAGTTTGTGGTCGATTAAAAACAAAGTACCCCCCTACAGGAAAAGGCTGTGTAGACAGGACTGCATGCTTCATTCGGACCGATGGATGGTAGTTACCTGATGATGTTTTATTAAAAACCTCATCAGGGTAGTGTAATAACTGCATGTTCGGAGAAATTAATAATATAATCTAGATGATATTATAGCTTAGTTTGGCTGTGTTGTACTTTAAAATTAAATAAAACAGCTGCTTCACTGTATGTGCGTAAAGCTAAAAATCAAAACAGAATCTGGATGTCTGACTGTAAAATGTGAACAGATGCTGTTTGTGTGTGTCATAGTGTGACGGTTGGATGACAGGGACTAGCTTTATCACATTGCCTATATTAGTAATGCTTTATTTTAACATTAAATGTATATGAAACTAAGCCTTCAAAATGTGCATTTGTTAATCATAGCTGTTTTCTCCTATTTACTTGAAAACTATGTATAATGGAGGGTTTAAAGAGTCAAAATAAAGGCAATCACCTGCTTTTGGTATGATGCATGTTTTTGATGTAATATATTATGTTTATGTTATAAGTTTTACAGAAATTTCTTGAAAAGATTCTTTTATTTTTCGTTTTTCTCCTTGGTTCTGACGCCTAATTTAACAATAGCGGTATAATTAAAAACGTGTCTTTTTTCCCCCTAAATTTGGCACAGTAACTAGGCTGGAGAAGGTTATAGAGAAAACTGTGGTAATTAGTCCACAGGGGACAGAATAATAAGCCATCCCAAAACCTTTTTATCTCGCAGCCACTCATTCCTGAAACTTCATTTATGATTTTCATTCTACTATATTTTCTTTTACTTTTGTTTTCATATTGTTAAACCAAACACTTTCAACGACATTTGAATGCTGTGTGTGTGTGTGTGTGTGTTCTCTTTTGCCAAAACTTTCAATTTGTAATCTCATTTTGCCTCCAAGAAGTGGTTATAAATATCTACTGTCAGTCTAATGTTTAACGGCCAGTTTGTTTCTTCACGTTGCTTGCCCTTTACAGTTTCAAGCTGTATGTAAACAACAAGGCTGTCAGATAAGAGGAGATGTTAATGATCGTTGTGGGGAAATTGGGCACTGGCTTGCATGTGGAAGGGCCTGTCATCAAGGTCAAAGGACACATAGTAAAACTACTATAGCAGCTGCCAGGTCATATGGCCTGCAAACCGCTTTTTAGTTGTTTACAGTAAGTGCCAGTATGGGGTAACTTACTGCCATGCTTATAGACGTTATTACAATCTGATGAAAGGCAATATTTACCCACAATAAGATTTTTTTTTAAATCCAAATATTCTGCTTGGATTTCCGTTCACTGTGGCAGGCAGCACGTTAACTTCACCTCTCCCTATTAATGTGTGGCCCCCTCTGCTGTTCACAAAGTGCCACTGGCCTTTCCCCCAAAACATACATTACAGGATATGGCTTGTTTGCAAATGGCAAAAACCGAAAATAAAAAATGGCATGTATAAAATGCCAAACAGCAAAGAGAGAGAGAGAGCAACGTGAAAGAACAAAAAACGGTCATTCAATTTTTCATATTTGTTTTCTCAGGTACTATGCGGACCCACTCAACCTACTTGTAATGTTTCATTTAGACATTAAAACGGGATTGCGTTTTATATCTTTGAATCCTCCAAACTGTATTAATGTTAGATAAAAAATAAAACTTGCAGATGTAGCCTTTACTGTATATGAATAGAACATTTCAGGTATTTTAAAGGGTTCTCTTAGGATGCACTCATAACCACCAGGTCTTAGCAGTAATAGTATAAATAATATATTTATATTAGACCATTGTGTATATACTGTATCTGTGCAATGTAGGAGAGAAAAACTATGAATATTCTGTATAGTTGCTGTATGTACTGATAGGCACTTGATAGGCATATTCCCTATATCCCACAAGATACTGTATACTCTAGCTGCAATTATGTCTTTATCAAACTATCTGAAAATGTATTCTCCAGCTGTGTGGAGATGGTGATACTTAAATATATATAGTATATTTGTAAGAAGTTATCTATTTCACTCTTATGTGTACTGTAGAAGGCCAAAAATGCAGTTGGTTTCACGTGTTTTCTGTATTCTACTCTTAACTTTGTGACTTTTAGTCAAGCTTAAATAAAAAATCTGACTTAAAATGTGTGGAGACGGACTGAAAGACAAACAGGAAGACAGACACATGCTTATCAGAATAAAATGAAGCTGTTCCTCGCCCCGATATGACCCTCACCATTACTATCTTCCATTTCCTTGTTTTCATCTCAATGCAAAGCAAATAAGCATATAAGCATATATAGTACTGTGAAATATGACTCAATAACTGACTATCCTTTATCCAGTTGCGTGAAGCTATGTATGTATAAACAACATCACTATGATCACCATAAAAAAAAGCAGGAAGAAGCCTGAAATAAAGAAGTATAACGATGAATTAAACATACTGCAAGAAGGACAACAATGTACTGTAGACCCTGTGTCTCTACACTAAGATAAACAAAACATGAACAGTAATATATTTGAAACACAATACAAACAGCTGCAGGCTCAAGGCTATTATCTACTTTTCAATATGTTTTGTTCTGAAAATATGCAAACATAAAGTCTAGACTTTTTTTTCAAACTAACAACTAGAAGAAGCACGATTGAGATAAGGACTTATTTTCTGGATAATGTTGCAACTTTTCAACAATTTTTAACCGATTTTTTTTGCAACACTGAGAAAAGAGAATTAAGCACCACCACGAGTAGCTGAAGCAGTATAAGGAATATATAACTATGGACAGTGAAGAGCATGTGATGCTAATGCAACAGGAGAGGGGGGGGGGGGGGGCTAGGTATGTTATAGCACGTTATGACACACTGGAGAGAAGGTTCTTTCCCCTTCCGAGCCTGGTCTGCTATCAAACACCTTATGATACAAGAAGTTAGTCAACTGACAGTGGGATGAGTTATTAGCCCTCATCCAGATAACGTTGAGATTGGCTACTTTTGTTATTCCAAAAAAGAAAAAGATAGAGAAACAATTGATAGTGTAATTGTGAAATCAAATATTTCAAAAACCAACATCGAGCTACTTAACCTACTATTTAGACCAATGATACCACAAAGCTGGTTGTACTCATCTAGCTACAGTCAATAGTGCATTTGATATATGTGTTTACACAAAATATGTAAAATTTAGGTGCCATGAAGGAATGCTAGATTACTGAATACATACATCACACTGAAACAATTCAATTAATGTATCTGCCTATGCTTTCAAAAAAGTGATGATGTTAGTTTGGCAGTGTTTAACTTGGTACTGAACAGACAACAAACACCAACATCATGAGCTGTGTGCCATACATGTGGCAGTACTGTTGGAAAGAGATCTCGGCAGTTGCTAACATATTCTATTTAGTGCATTGTCTGTTAAGGCATGAGATTACCCTCCACGTGCTGTGTAGAGACAAATATAGCACTAGCATGCAGCAATATTGCCATCCTGGCAACAACAGCTACAAACAGGAACCATACAATTTAGGCTTATATGCACACCATAGGAGACAGGCCCAATCAAATGTTAAATAATGTGCTACTTTTACTGCGGACTAACCTCACATTTGTTTTTCGGTTTATTTCTTATCTGCAGTCAATAATTTCTTTTAGCTGAGGAGAAACCAGAATCTATCCAGGTCTCTCATGTTCATCACTTGACTTCACTTCAACTGACTCCACAGGGATCTGAAATCTAGTAGCAATTATATAAAATTTAGCATCAAAATGCTGGACATAACTTCTCCAAACAGGTACAACGAAGTAAACAGTGTTTGACCTACCTAGGCCTCACTCAAATCTCAGAACAAACGTTACAGGTGCCGTATTAGCCCAAAAGGTTTGGAGAACTGCTTCTCATAGTACCTGCGTTGCATATTGCTAAGGAAGCCCTACAGTTCAGATATACCACTTATCAACAGTTTGATTAGGCTATATACCACACACAGAGTCTCACAGACATACAAACACTAAGGAAGGGACACAACTGTGTACAACCGACAGACAGATATCAAAAAGCTGCATTCCATCACCTCCCCACACCTTTAAACCCACGGAAAGTTGTTCTAGGACACACATATAATTTATGTTACACACACACACATTATAAATGTATTATTATTAATAATATAATAATAGTTATTATTATTACCTCTGCCAACGGAGTTGGACGGGAGTTGTGTTTATTATTACTGTTGTTGTTTCACTGTTAATGTTGTTTGGCTTGGATGTTCTCGTAAGAAAATTCTGTCTGTTTCTAAAGAAATGCAATTGAATAACTGTTATAGGGAACTGACTCCATAAAAGAATGAATTCAAAGGTTAAAACATAGATGAGCACACGTAATGGTACATATTTAAATAAAAATAAATGCTTGCATTAACACGGCACGAGTATATACTGTAGGTAACTGCAAGCAATAACGAAAGCCAAGAACCGCTGAATTACTTAATGAATAAATTGAAACAAAGCTATTCTATTACATGTGAACTCTACAACCAAATGTTAGATTTAAAAAAAATCCTCTTTTCTAAAACTATAATATCTCTGTTAACAGTAGTGCACTTATTGGTTTAAGCAGTGCAACATATATGCAAGAAAATAATGCAGTCCACTTATCAAGATTTAAAAAAAAAAATGTTTTTTTTTTCCTTTGAAATTGAATAAAAGAAAATTATAGAAGTTCATTTGACGAAAATGATTAAATATTAAGCACAGGCATTTAAGAAATGTGCAAAGTAGCACTGTTTTTTTTTTTTTTTTGAATGTACAGCGGGTCTTCTTAAGACCACTGTACGCAGTTATTCTTTTAACAATACAACTACTAAAGTGTTTGCTCACAAATGAGCAAATCCTTCAGATTGCAGTTGCAGGCTGTTGCATGTGTGTGTGTGTGTGTCCTATTTTGAGTAAAAAGCAATACAAAACAATTCAAATATCAGAAATGAGCCTTAAGTGATGTGATTTATGGATGACAACTTGCGCACACTAGCTTCCAAATCTATTCTGTACATGCTGTGTCTAGGTTTTTAGAAAAATCAGGAATGTATACTATTGTCTAGAAAGTCCATCTCCAACATGTGGTATATCGTGAAACTGTGATATCAATGGAGCTACTTGTTTTGCTCTGAGACTGCATATCCTTTCAAAACGTTGCATGCCATTTGAGCCTTCAGGGAGAGCAATAACACAAAGATTAATGCATTTAGCTCCCACTAGCTTAAATGGCTTTGCAATAGTAATGAACAGGTTATACAGGGTTCTAGGATCAGGATGGCATTTGTTTCCAATTCAAATTTGATTCAAATTAAATCCCTCCCTCTTCAACACTGTTCCAATCAACAACTAGCCTAACCCCTCCCCCCCAATATCATAATTCCATTATCAAATTAAAACCATGTCGGCTACTGAATAACAACAATAGAAAGTGACAAATATTTTTTTAATCTACATCCCATAACAGTCAGGTGCAAGTTGAGGAGCAGCAATTATGAAGGAGAGAGTTTAGTCGCATATGCCAGCCTGCCATAACTGTGAATGTGAAAGGCTAAAAAAACCAATCAGCAAAAGAATCTTTCTTTTTTTCTTATGTTTTGAAATGGAAGAGGTCTATTAGCCTTAACAGTCTTTTAAGATATTAGTGGCAGTGTATGCAAATGAGTTAAACTCCAAACTTCAGAAAAAAAGAAACAAATTTTTGCTCAAATACTGTCTCATCAACACACCCTAATTTAGTAAACGCAATCTTAACCATTAAAATGCATGGACAACAATTACAAAACAGATGAGAAATATTTGTCCCCGTCACCACTGACAGGAAGTTACATTTCAGTAAAATGATTGAAATTGGTACCTTGACAACAGCTGCATTATAATCCCTTAATACCATAGGAATAAATAAAACCCACTGTCAAATTAACTACTCTCCTTTTTTATTTTACATAAGAAGGCAATCTTGTGACCATCAGTATTTTTAGAGGGAATATGTAGCCCAACCCCAGAAGATTTCTTGTTATTGTTGTTGTAAATTATACCACAGTAAGCTTGGACATCTATAGTTTCCAAACTGGTCAGTATGGGTTCACAACTACCATGATTTATATTTCATGGCAATGTACACACACACACACACACACACACACACACACACACACACACACACACACACACACACACACACACACACACACACACACACACACACACAAACACACACACACACACACTTAGACAACCAGACGGACACATGCAAATACACACAAACGCTCAAACATATATGCACATGTATATTCATTCAGACATATCTACACTAAAGGTGTGTTTGTGTGTATGTGTTTCTTTCGTAGGCCTTTCGGTAGTGTTCAACACATAAATCAGTATTTTAGGAAAGCATACATTTAGAGGCCTGTAGTTAGGATCCATCCAGTAGATCAATATCAAACTACTAAGCCTTAAGGCCACCATCTTTTTTTTCTTTTAGAATAACAGAAAAAAAAAAAAATCTTTTTTGGGAAACTTAATGTGCCAGTGTCTATACTCATTACTCTTCATACCTCAAAACAAGAAAAGGAAAATCTAGTGCCATTTTATTTGTCATTCTTTTTGAAAGAAGTTTATCTATTAGTACTTATCCATCGGAGACATGCATTCGCATGTGGTCATTGAAGTGCTCCATTTGGTCGAACTTGGCAGGGCAGACGGAGCACACGTAGGTGGTCCCTTCTTGGCAGCTCGCTTCTGCAGCTACACCCACTCCTGTTCCAACCCCAGCCCCTACTCCAGCACCTCCGCTCACTGGCATGGCGAGGGCCACCACTCCAGCTCCAGGCTCAGGGACAGCCATTGGGATGGGAATGGAGACCGGGCCTGGGGTACCTGCGCTCCCCGACAGCCCTGTGATGGTGTTGCCTGTGCTGTGCAGGGCCATGTGCCTCTCCAGCAGGGTCTTGTGTGAGAACTTTTTCTTGCAGATGTAGCACTCATAGGACTTCTCTCCACGGTGCAGCCGCATGTGGACGTTGAGAGAGCTCTTCTGGGTGAAACGCTTGTTGCAGATGCTGCACTGGTAGGCCCGCACCCCTGTGTGTGTCACCATGTGTTTGATTAAGTAATCCTTCAGGGAGAACGAGCGCCAGCAGATGCTGCACTGATGAGGCTTCTCACCTGGATGTACATGCAAGACAAAAGCATTAAGGGGAAAAAAAGAGATATATTTTTGAGGATTACATTTACACAGTATGGAAGAATCTGTGCAGCAACATTTGACGCCTGAAGCCAGCAGTGTTACTTTTCCAGTACAGGAACATACCTCAGGCTAGAATTTCTTAAACCTGTGTTAGCTGTGTTATGATGGTTTCACTAGACTCTGTATGCTACAGCTCTGTGAGCAACGGGTTCCTATAATGTAGCTCTGATGCAGTTATTACAAAACTGTAATATAACTGTACAATTTCTGTTTTCTGAAAATTCACAACTACTGTAATAACTTCACAGACACAGACAGGTGGAGCTACAAGGACATAAAAAAACCACACACACCAATGTTAATTCCCAAACGATCACAAACTAAATCCTTTATGCTTCTCTTTGGTATTTTTGTCAGTTTCGTGAGATATAAGCTCATTTTAAATCATTGTCTCTGCGGACATTATGGGGTGTAAAACATTAACATATTAATAATTACATAAAACTAACAGGTAGAGGAAGAAACTGACAACACTGCGAATAGGCAAGTTGATTTATGCAAGTTAATGAAGTCCTGTCTATCTGCAGCTTGCTGCTGCAGTGACTGAATTAATGTGTCTCTACCTGCTTTGATTTAATGAAGCCAATAATTTATACTTTTACTTCATCTGTTTTGTTTTTTGTTTTCTTTTTGCTTGACTTGCTCCAACGAGAGGGTCGGAAGTCAGAGCCAGTTACAGATCAGGAGCACTGAGCTAGCACACATATCAGGTATATCTACTGTCTTGCTCTTCTTCAGGGCCGCAAATTTGAAATACAGTGACTCATACAAATGCAAACCTGTCTCTTTTGTCTCTGACTGATTTTTGATCATAGCCACCTCATAGCACATGTCTATCATGCAATAGTACTGGGTGGATATTTTACAGATCCACATTTTTAGGAATTTTCAGTCTTTCATAATGACTGTTGAGATTTTTCTCACCCTCATCTTTCATCGAGGTGTGAAGATATAATCTATTATACTTGCCAAAGTATGTCTTGATTACCTTTTTTTTTTTACTGAAAAAACAGTTTATGCTGTATATGTATTAGATGTATGGTAATCACATGTGGAGAGCAATACAATATTATGCTAAATCACACTGACATCCTGTTAGTTCTTGACTAATATTTTTTGAGTAAAGGTAATCCATCATTGGCTGCCGTGGGACGTTCAGATCTCGTCCATGGGTCTGATCGATCCGTGACTTCCCTTCTCAATATGTCATCCCTCTGCTCTGTACAATTGTGCGAGTAAATTAGGAAATTTGGTTTGAAATAGCTTTCAAAGGAGGTTCTGCCTATTTGAGTGGGCACGTTTTATGAGATCATCTAATTATATGATATCTAATTCTTTCTTTCTGTGATGATGATTTGAACAGATTGACAAGGCTGTCAGGGCTAGAAGAAAGCAATGCACAGTATAATAATGTAACACAGCTAACAGACTAATACTATACACTCTATATTTTATGTACTAATCTTCATACTATACTGCTTTACAGATAGTGTTCATTTACATACTAACTTGTACTAGAAGGAAAGGATAAAGATGGGCACAGATGGATGTTAAATTTAATTTAATTTAACAAAAGAAAAAGATAAATGATTGTTCAAATATCTGAGATGTTCTTGGTGTTGTGTCAAACTCTGCTTCCTCACTGATTTGTGTTTTCTCTTACCTTACCCTAAAGCCAACCTTAACCTCGTGGCACCTAACCATAACCTAATCTAACCCCGGAGGACAGGCCTTTTTTAAAAACGCTACTTGAAGGGGAGCGGGACCTCGACATGAGACTGGAACAGTGACATCAATGTGTATACTTAATTTTGTCTTAAATTTTGTCACTTTCTCAGTGTGACTGTGGGTACATATGCTATGTAGTATGTTAAAGGGACACAGCTCTATATTGATACATTATTATGAAATAATAACATTAAGGAAAATAAAATAACCTTTTGTCTAATATTGTTTTTGTATTATGAGAAACAAAGAAACATTAGATCATTTTAATGTTCCTATTTAAAAAAAAAAGTTTTCACATCATAATAACACATTTTTTATGTTAGACTATACCGCTAACCAAAAATATTTCTATAGTATTACATATGATAAGTACAGCTACTACCTACATAAACTATGGATAAGGCAATCATTTAATTGAGCTTACAATATAAAATAAAATTTTACATTTTGACTTACCAGTATGGACAAACATGTGTTTGACGTAGTTCTGTTTAGCAGTAAAGGTTTTACTGCAGAGAGTGCATTCATAGGGCTTCTTTTCCCCTGCACCAAGTCCTCCTGTAACCTCTTGCTTCATAGCTGGCGCTTGCTGTACCGACATGGGGTTCGGGAATGATGGCATTGCAGGGGGCGGCACTGCCACAAACTGGGGTTGCTGCTGGCCAGGAAGGTAAAGGAAAGGCTTGTTGTCTCTAGCCGGCTGTGTAGGAAAGAGTGTGGGCAGGAAGGTGCTTCCAGCTGTGCCCATCACTTGGGAATTGCTGGTCACGGTGAGCGGCATCCTCAGATTGCTGGTGTGTGATTCTGCCTGGCGCATGTAGTGCAGGGCACTTGGCAGGGACTGGGACATGACTGAGTTTGGCAGGGGCTGCATCATGCTACTGTCACTAGTGCTGTGGGATATGTCCCCGTCCTCTGTCTCTTGCACTTGCTCTGGGGACGAGTCATTGACCTCTATATGCACTGGACCTCCTTCACCTCCGTCCCCGCCCCCGTCTCTAAAGCCCGTCAGGAACGGTTGCTGCTCCATAGCATCTGGCTCAGTACTGATGGAGGAGCTCACCCCTGAGTCAAAACTTTCAACCTTGGATTCACTCTCTACACCTTCAGTATGGTCAGTGTCAATAGGACAGTCCCCCAAATTATCGTAGCAGCTGTACTCATCTTCGGCCTCCTGCTTTATGTGCATCCCTCCTGTTTGTATGCGTACCGGTCGGGGTTGCTTACGGCAGTGAGTGGACTCTGCTGTGGAGATGAAGCGATCGACCTGTTGGTTTCTCTCCTGAATGCGGTTCATCCAGGGTGGATCTTGAGACTGCTGGTCCTTCTGAGTGCTGAGAGTGGGATCGTAGTTTGACGTCAGAGGGTTAATGTACAGGGGGCGCTCGCGGGTGCCGTTCTGCAGAGAGATGCCAGAGTAGGAGTACAGTGATGTGTATGCACGATCCATGCTTTGCTGTGATGTTGCTTGCATATAACCTGACTCTGCGTCGCTGCTGGGCCCAGAGGTGCCAGACTCTGGCGTGCCACGGGGTGTTTCCTGACCAGAGTCTCCTGGTATAACAGGGAACCCCCCCGGCCCTGCCAGGCCCACATTCTGGGACACAATGCGGGTACACTCATCAATGACGGTCTTGATCTGTAGGATGCTAGCCGCAGTAAGGATCTGCAGGGCCTCTGACTGAGATACCCGCAGAATCCCACTGTACATAAAGTCAATCAGCTTTTGGATGGATTGCACTGAGACCACAGAAGGGATCTCAATGTCGCTGTAGCCCAAGAGCAGCTTGTCCTGAAAGAAGGGGCTTCCAGCAGCCAGCACGCACCGGTGAGCTCGCAGCATACTTCCATGGATCCGAACAGTCACGTCACAGAAGTGCCCACGGTTGCGCTGCTCATTGAGGGTCTCAAGTACAGAATTGCTGAAGTTGTGGAGATTGATGTTATGAATGCGCTCGGTCATCCCCTTGCAACTGATGTCACCTGCAAGTAGACGGCAACACACCTGATTCAAAAACTCTGACACACACAGTCACCACAATATTAACTGGTATGCCTAAAGTGACTTTTTTATGATTTCTTTTCAACAACAACAACATATTTCCATTTTTGGTTTGATATATTAGGAGTAATTTAACAGTGTAATTGAATAATTAAATATAAACTGTTATAGAATAGCCATAGGTGAATGCATCACAAAAAGAAGTTCTCTTGTGTGCAAGGAAATTGCCTTTTGCCTCATGTTAGAAAACACAACCATGTCACAGTACTACAATCAATTTATACATATATGCTTAATAATGTTGATTCTTATTATAAAAAGACATAAGAATGGTGATTGGAGGATTCCTAAAATGCTAATACAGATATGGTCATTTGAATATTTTTTTCTCTCTCAAGGATGAGAATCAAATAATTTCAGCATAGGAGCAAAATTTGTCTCAAATCAGGCTGAATCATCGTGGTTTGAAAATTCCACATTGCCATGGTGAAAGACAATTAAGATGGTTCCCATCTACTTATTATTACTGTACAAGTTTCCCTCTTACAGTGTGTATTTCTGAAATTCCACCAACCACCATTAGGTGGTGCACTGGGCTTAGAGGACAACAGGCCTCTTTTGTTAGCCATGTGTTCACTTTGATGGCGCCTCCTAACTATCCTTGGAATATACTCGATGTGACCCGGCTGATCAGTGTGCAAGATAACTTAAGATGCTTTTCTCCTCAGTTAGGTGTTAAAAGAAATGAAAATCGAAATCTAACTAAGATATGTAGCAAGTGTAAGAATTATGCAAATTATGGTTGTTTTTGTAATTGCTGTAAACTGAATTTCTTTTGCATATAAACATGCTTGAGCATAATTTAAGTAAGGCAGTCGACCTTGTTTGAATGCTTATTAAACACAGCACTATTCTCACAAAGAAACTGTTCTCATTTTGATATTGGAAACTGTAAAAATCCATGTCAAATTTTTTTTTGATAATTGTTTACACTGTCTGTCAATGAATAACAAATCAGAATATATATATATATATATATATATATATATATATATATATATATTCTGATTAAATGTCAGAAAACACACCTTACTTAACTACTGTATTTATATAAAAAACCTTGACCATGTGGAGAAATGCTTTATAATTTGGATGAACAGTGGTAATAGCAATAAAACCATATTTGATTTGATTATCCAAGTGAAGCACAATTGAGCTAAAATGCACAGCAGAAGCAGTGCAACAGTGTTAGCACAAAGTATTAATACTTATTTCCAGCAAAGTTATTTCTAACTCAAATGTAAAAAGAAAAAACATTAAAAAACGTAGTAGCAGTCCAGTACTCACAGTTAGATGACGTTTTGTTCCGAAGATGCTTGTGTGGCTGGTGATGAAGTGCGGGTCAAGCTTCAGTTTGCTGGTGGAGATGGCTGATCAGAGGCCAGGTGCTAGGCAAGGCTGTCAGTCCTCTCTGTCCAAATCATGTGCTGCTCTGCCACAGCGTTTGGAGGGGGAGAAAAAAAAGACAAAGACAAATCTTAATGCCACATACTGCCTCGTCGATATTGCCACTCCCTTAATGAACCCGGAGCCACAGGAACACAAGAATCTGACACGCTGCAACAGATGTGTGAAGAGTTTTCAAAGGAAGACGAATGGACGTTCCTTTGCGCGCATGACCACCAATTACAAATCAAGGTTGAAAATAATATTTGTATTAGAGCCACTTCTTCTCTCAGCAGTTATCTGAGCTGATGGCCAACAAAACCACACCCATCCCAAAAAAAAAATCAAAATTCCTTGTAAATTTCTGCAGATTAAATATTTTTGAAAAGCTCTCAGTCATACTCATCAAAAAGTGTGTGTGTGTGTGTGTGTGTGTGTGTGTGTGTGTGTGTGTGTGTGTGTATACATGCTTGTGCCCTTTTCATTTTCAAAGACAAATATCCAACCGAAGACAATATCTAATACAGACATAGAGCGAACATTAGAGGTTAATAATAGAAAAGAGTCCAATATTAAACACACAAGGCATTCATTGAAAAACACAAGAAAGGCATTCAACAACATTAAGCATGTGATGAGCTGGTTTGGTGATGCAAAAAAAGACACAATTGCTCTTATACTGTACACACACACATTAGTATACAAAAGTTTGCAAACTGGACATAAAATGACATAAATCCAACCACATTATAGTCACATACTCCTGGTATATTTAAGGTCAGACAGACTGAAAAAATGCATTGAACCAATGCAAAATGCCGTTACAGTTTCTCTCTTTATTACCACCACACTGGTCAAAGTGCCTTCAAATACTTCACCCAATAAAGCTTTAAAAGTATCTTGGAAATGCCTGTTCCTGTTGAGATATGAATATTTTTCATTATGGATCATAATTACAAGTGTGATTTGACACTCTTAAACATTTTTTTTGTAAAACGTCTAGTAGCTGTCACACTGGCTACAACACGAACACCAAGTGTTCTCTGTAAAACGCCAGCAACTACAGTGTGTTGCTGAATGAATAGAACGGGGCTGGGATTTGACCAGACCTGCACGTTAATTTTGATTCGTATTATTCTTTTACAAATCTCAAGTGCTTTCAAAGAACATGGTTACGGCTTTGAGACTTTGAGGTAATTAAAAATCGATTTTAAGCAAGTAACCTCTGTATTTTTTCCACATACTCTGGTGGAAGAAGAAGGGTCATCTGCTGTACCAAGGTAACAGAAAGATATGAGACCATAAATAAGCCTCCAAAATGGTCAAATAAGATTAGGATTTTATGTGTAGTTTAGTATGGAAAAGCAGAATATCTGGGAGAAAACCAGAGTTGAGGGGTTAAAGTGTAATAACGGAAATAGTTGTGTTCACAGACTGCTTTGTGTCCACAGGCCTCACTTTAGGAAGGACTGCGGGCAGCGAGACATGTGCTTGTTTTCTTGAAATGTCCTTGTCAACTAACAAATTAGCTGATTTGATATAGACAAGTGAAAGCGTGTTTAGCAGCTGAGGGTGATCACTCGATACTGAGACGGATCATTCTTTGGCACTAAAATGTGCACACACACACTGGTTTGTTCCTCCGCCTTGATCCGGACAGAAAATATATTTTACAATTAAATCCTTAACCGCTATATCTACAATTAAACTTGAACCATTTTCTCTAACCTTAGCTGTAAACATAACTCTGACAGTGACCTAACCCCCCCACCAAATAATCTCTTCAGACCTTTCATTATGGATGTCAATATAAGACTGAATCCCTAAAATCTGCCATTTCTACAGGTCAGCCTTGAGTTTTTGGTAGGGTTGTTATTTTGGTAGTATGCGTTAATCTACATCTATGTATCATGCATAATGTATGTGTATGTATGTATGTATGTATGTATATGTATTCACGTATGTATGTATGTATGTATGTATATGTATTCACGTATGTATGTATGTATGTATGTATGTATGTATGTATGTATGTATGTATGTATGTATGTATGTATATGTATTCATGTATGTATGTATGTATGTATGTATGCATGTATATGTGCATTTGCACATATGTGTCCTCACCTATATGTGCAGCACTTCGTAACTTTCTATTTTTGAAGGCACTATATAAATGAAATTATTATTATTATGTTTTAACACCTAACTTCAAAACCAGATCTAATCTAAACCATAAACCCAACTGTAGGTGTAACCTAACCGCTGTCACTGGAATTATTCAGAATTGACATAGTCAAAGTGAAAGCAAAAAGTCATCATTTATAGCCTTCTCTTTAACGTACTACACACACACGCACACACACACACGTGCCAAAAGGCGTGAATCCATTACAGTGGCAAATATTTGACTTTTTTTTTCTTTTCCAGCAGGGGTTAGCTTAGCTTCAGATGTAACTGTATTCTGACGCCACGGGCCTTATTTTTTCATGGCTACTTTTAGACAATGCAAACATATATGTTCCCTCGCCGGCTTCCCTCACCCATCCAGACATGTAAATCCACCTGCCTAAGGGGTAAAGTGAGGTGAATGCTGGCAACAAAGGAGCAGGCCAAGGGAAGCAGGCTTCAGTTGCCCAGACTGCCACTCACAACAGTGATTCCATTTTAGCCGTGACACAGTGGGTGAGCAGCAGCCACTGCCTACCTGCAGTGAATTCTAATCAGCCCAGGGGTCTGTCTCCCTCCCTCCCTCCCTCCTGTACCCTGCCTTGGACTAAAGGGGCTGATGATCCTTCAAAATTAATTAGATCCTTGTAGGAGGCGGCCATTTTCTTTCACTTCCTAAAGCTCCAACAAAAAGCAAATTTTTGAATTAAACTAAATTTGGGGTGTGTGTTTTCCCTCTTCACATCTCTTTCTCTGTGCGTCTCTACCTGTTTCCTGTTTCATCACGCTGAAACTCTCTCGCTGTCTTTTCTTCCATCTGTCTGTCTCTCTGTCTGTCTGTCTGTTCCCCCTCCTCTTCCTCCCTCCCTACGAACCTTCCCCAACACCCTCCGCCTCTCTCTGGCTGCCTCCATGCTCCCAGCTCTGTGTCTGCCTCTGTGGAGTTTGCTGTCAATAAATCCCCAGAGGTCAGTTTGTCTGCTGGAAATCAGACACAATGCTTCAGACCGCCAATGCAATGCATGCTCTGCTGCTGCCGCCACAACAAAGACTGAGGAGGGGAGGAGAGTGGGGGAGAGAGAGAAGGGGGGTGGGGGGGATGAAAAAAAGAATTAAGACAGGGAGATGAGGGCTGCAACTTCACCAGCCAGACTCCAGGTTAATCAGCTGCCTGTATTAGGTGGCAAGCTCATGAAATACACTGCATCGAATTGGACATTAGTTAATCAAGGGGGTGCTCTGTGGTGGTGTGTGTGAGGAGGAGGAGTGTGGGGGGGGGTAAAATGGTGAGGATGGGGGATGGGGTTGAGAACAGACATAAGAGGCGTGCTTATGAAAGGAGCAGTATCAGCCATGTGAATAACATACATCCAGAATATGCAAATACTGCTTACAACACACACTACAAGCATACATTCAAGGCCCTTGATACATTTAAATCCAGAGACAAAAGGGTCACAGGCATTGTGAAAAGCTCATGTCCATGGGCATACAACATCTCCATGAATCTGATGCAGATTTGCACTTATCAAGAGTGTTTTGTGTTACACCTAATTAATAGTAATTTATGAGTTTGTTTGAAACCTCTACTGCGTAACAATCACTGTCCAACATTGTAATTATTAATTTCAATCATCCATTTAGGCCAAGTGCATTAGCATATAAACTACCAGAAAGCATGCTCTAATAGTATGGTTTGGATGTGTGATCTAATATAATTTAGTACACAATGTAAACGTGTAGCGAGCACACTGGGAAATTTTAAGCAAATAACCTTGTGATGAAGTGTTGATGTGATGATAATTGAAGGTGTGTTCGATAAAGAAACAGTGTGTTCATTTCACTCCTCTGACAAAACAATATACAGCTGTAACTGTAATCAGTCAACATCTCAAACTATTCTGAAAAAGAAAAAGAAATTAAATCAAACCTCAGCTAATGCTATTGTGTCTTGGCTCCCTTTGATCAGCACAATTAAAAATTATTCTTTTAGGTAACTGAATATTCATCTACGCCCAACAATGTTGTGTTGGCTGATTAAATCGGAGTAATTTAGAGTGCCGGGTCTCTTATTACATTTGAGTGTTCGTCTATGACGTTGTGAAGCCATTAACAGGTAAGGTAACTAATGCACCTAAATCACACACACTTCAGGAGAAGCGGCAGAAAAACACCTCACAAGTCTCAAGATTTAATTGATTTGCCTTTATAGCAATAACTGAAAATCATCAACAAGCACACGTAGGCTGTTGACAAGTTGAGCCAACATTTTTTTTTTATTTCTCCTTCTCCCTTGACTGAAATTGCACGGTGTAACATAACATCACCAATGAGATATTTATCTAAATGTCTGATGATAATTACAACATGTATGAATTACATTTTGAACCGACAATTATAACATGAAACGTCTTCCTGAACTTTGAACTTGCTGTTCACCTACAACATAGATTTAGGACTGGTGATACTTCTTTCACAACCACAGTTTCGATTTCAAGCTCAATCTAAGTAATGACAGAGTGCCAGTGTAATGTTATGGCCACTGCTCAATTGAGTAACTGTATTATGGTCATGAGTTTATGTGCATCATACTCTTAATGGACCCCTGAATTTAACTCGTTCGTTGTGTTCGTTAGTTCCACTAAAATGTCTCAAATAGCACAGCAGATCAATGTGATAAAACATTCAGTCCAACAAGCCATTCAAATGTGACAGGATGTGCGGCTTTCAAATAAATTACTCAAGCAAGCAAATAACAACACGCACTACAAGTAGTGTAAAGGACAGTTAAAGTCTTTTTTTGACAGGACAGCTTGTTCAACTTCGTCATTTTCTGTCAAAAACACACCCACTACCACCCGTTATCCATAGCAGATC